TACAATAATATTAATTATTTATTATAAATTTAAAATATAATTCATATGTTCAAAAGTATTATTATCTATTATAAATTTTAATTATAAATAATTAAAATATTTATTTATTAAAAATTATAATTATATAAAAATAAATATTTATTCTATACACTTCACTTACTAAAATATTATTTACTTTTAAATTTAAATAAAAACAGTAAGATATAATGTTATCACTTTATTTTATTTGTTATTTTAAAAATAAATTAAATTCTCAGGTATAATAAGTAAATGTGTACTAATCAATAAATAAATATACAAATTTAAGTACTTGATAACGAAAATATTTTTAAAACTCATAATTTTTCTTCTTCTTATATTAATATTGATTAAATAAAAAAATAATTATTTAATGAAAATATTTTTTTAGACTTTTTATTTATTTATAAATTATTAATAATTTTAAATAGTTCATTATCACAATATAAATGATTTATTATAAAATTAAAATATAATTTACATATTTAAAAGATTTATTTATTACAAATTTTACTTATAATATAATATAATTTATATTAAAAATGATTTTATAAATTTTAATTATATAATATAGTAAAAACGTTACTTTTTGAGTGAAAAAATAGCGCTATTTTTCTTTTTTACAGAAAAATGTGTGAATGTTAAAGTTAGTTTTATTTTATTAAAAAAAAAAAAGAGAAAGAGAAGATATAGTTGGGCTTTGGCCCAGTAAGATTGGCGTGCATCTGACGCAGGAAGTGGAATCCAACGGTGCAGAATCAAAAGGAAGAAGATCTGTGATATATTGAAATGAAAAAGGAAACCCTAGTTTGGATAGATGAGAAAGGATTATATTAAATAGACGCAGATAGTTGTAGGCGTGTGTTTGCTCTCATTCGCTCTTCTCCGCCACTTCTGAATCTCTCCTCTGTTCAATCCAAATCATGTCGGACGAAGAGCATCATTTCGAGTCCAAGGCCGATGCCGGAGCCTCCAAAACCTATCCCCAGCAAGCTGGTACCATCCGCAAGAATGGCTACATCGTCATCAAAGGTCGTCCCTGCAAGGTCTATTTCCTCTTCCAAACCCTTCCCTTTTCTTCCTTAATTCTTTTCGCGTTTTAGATCTGCGCTTGATTTTATTTTTATCTAGAGTGTTTGTCTTCTGAATTTGGTTATCTGTGGATGTTGATTTGTTTTTCTTTTTTAATTATGTTATGTTTGTTTGTCAACAGGTTGTGGAAGTTTCAACTTCCAAAACTGGAAAGCATGGTCACGCTAAGTGTCACTTTGTTGGAATTGATATTTTCACTGCCAAGAAACTCGAGGATATTGTGCCCTCTTCTCACAATTGTGATGTACTGATGCCACTTAGTTGTTATTATTTTTTGTTTTTGTTTTCTTAATAGTTGTTTACCGTGTATTGAGTTTTTTGTGTGGATGCGATGTTTTTTTTTTGTCAGGTTCCTCATGTGAATCGTACTGACTACCAGCTCATTGATATTTCTGAGGATGGATTTGTGAGTTGATGTTTCTGTTCAGAGTTTTCTTTTTTAACTTGTTATAATTACAGTTAGTGATTAGTCTTTTATATTCTTAGATCTGAATGAGTGTTTGCTATTGCAGGTGAGTCTCCTTACTGAAAATGGGAACACTAAGGACGACCTCAGGCTTCCCACCGATGAGAGTCTGCTCACTCAGGTTTGTGCAATTCTCGTGTTTTTTTTTACCATATTGGATTGACAAATATTATGTAGTTGGTTGAGTGTATATCTTCTGATTGGGTATGCATCATTGATTTCTTTTGTGTAGATTAAGGATGGATTTGCTGATGGCAAGGACCTTGTTGTTTCTGTCATGTCTGCCATGGGCGAGGAACAGATTTGTGCCCTGAAGGATATTGGGCCAAAGAACTAGCTTTCGTTGCTGGCACTTTGTTGTTTCTATTTAAGCAAAGATATTTTTGTAAGCCTTTATATTGGTTTCTTCAAGACCTGGCTTATAGATTCTAGTTGGACTAGTTTTAACGATGGTGTTTATGGATGTGGTGACACATTTTTCTGTTTTTCTCTGTTGTCCTGTGACTTTATTATAAAGGAGGAGTCTATTTTGGGAAGGTTTTTTTTGGTACAATATGATGTTATGTTCGTTGTATGCAATCATGAAAACTTGCATGCTAATAGCAAATGACACAATTTATCGCCACTTTTGAATTTACTTTTATAAAATGAATTCTTGTTAAAAGTTTAGTTTTAATGTGCAGTATTTTTGTATTTGGTAGTCTTCATATTTATATTTTAATCCATCAAAGTTTTATTTGATCACTTCTACATGGGCAAATTTGATCTTGGGTTGTAATCAATCAATCACAAATGTGTATTTTTTGACAAAATTACATTCGATATCATCAATGAAGTATTTGAATGCATCTAATCTTGATTAGCTCCATACTATTATGAACAAATTTTTTAATTAATCTGTGCTTTGAGGTCATGTATGGGCTGCAATAAAGTGTGCAAATTGAATTCTCACTATATCCAGAATAGTTTTTGGTGAATTCACATTTGGGTTAAGTGGGTTTTATTTCTACACCCATGCTTTGTATAAAGCAAAGTTTTTTGCATTTTTGTTTAAGTTGTTTTATTTGTTGGTATTCAAACTAAACTTATGTACAAAAATATTTAAATGCAAATGGTTTTATTAGGAATAATTTTGGACCAAGATCAAGTTTGTAAAATTTGTTTATCCATGTTCTGATTTGTCCAAAATTTGTTGTTGTAAACGCATTAATTAGTTTTAGAGGTGCTAGAGTTTAACGAAAGAGCTTATTGTTTCAAGATTAATAGACTGCGCTCTTCTGTTCACTTAGATACTTTTACATACAGATGTATTGGAAAATACAGGACCTCTATCTGTGATTTACATTGATGTTTTAGGGGTTCGTGATAAGGAATGTCTCAAAGATTCTATTGGTTTTCTTAGCAGTTATTCTGCCCTTTATTTGCTTTACAAGAATAGTTCAAATTTCAATAAGCTTACTCTTTTAGATATAATCTGTAATGTTTCGTGTTAACGAATAGTGTTAGCTGCACACAATCGTTTCATTTAATTTAAAAACTTCTCATGCTTTTTCGACAATAAGGTACTTAATTCTCTTAGGTTTTGATGGAGTATTCAGACTCTGATGAGCTGTAGCTTATGAGTGCAATCAAGTTGTAACAAAGTGCTCTTCTAAGCAAAAGAGACTCATAAAAGGCCGTTTGTAATTCATTGGCACCAATGACTAGAGTTGTTTGTGTCAATGACTGTTTACAAGTTTAGTGTTAGGCATGTGCAAAAGACTTGGTTCACACTCACTGGTCGTGTGTTTCGGTGGCAATGGAGTCAGGTTTGGTGGAGTGAGGTAGATAACGAGTAAGTTGAACATGTGAACAAGGTTGCTTGAGAAAGAACATTGCGTATAAGAGGAAGAATGCACTTGAACAGCTATTTGATTCATGCATAAAAGCATTTAAGGGGCCACAAGTAAAATTTAGTCACGTGTTGCCAAGTTATGGGGTCAGGTTTTTTGCGATTTCTATTACGTGTGATGGTGGTGCATTTTGACCCCTACTTTTTGGAATTACATGTAAGATTACAAACTGTGAAGCCCCTCGAGTTGCTTTGGGAGATCACGTCTTAGTTTTACACCACATTAATGGATCAGGTCATTTTCGTTTGGCCGTAGTGTTTTCATATTCATTTATTTACTTTTATTTCAGTTTTTCCATTTTTGTTTCTTTCCAAAACTTGAAGAAATTGACGATATAATTTCTTCAGTACATATATTTTCGTCTAATAGAGACTTACAAATTAAGTCATTCCAGGATCCTCTCTTAGGAAGAGTGGTTGCAATAAGAGATTTAGACGATAAGGTTTTTTTTCCCCCTTCTATAAGTACCCGTATTAGAAGAAAATAAGAAAAAATAATAATTTTCTTTCATGAGATCAAATTAAGTTGAAACCATTTTTTTAGAAGTTAAATGATTTTAACTTCTCTAGGAGATGATTTTTACTTGAACATAAGCTAAAATTAGCTTATGAGATAAGGTTTTTTTTTTTCTTCCTAAAAGTACTTATGAAAAGGTATTTGCCATTATATCCAACATCTTAATAGTATGATGTTTTTGCTCTTTAATTTATTTTATTTTTGAGGGAGGTTTTTCTCTCTTTAATTTCTTCAAGCATTGTTGTAAGAATATTTCTCTAATACCTCTCACACATAGTATGTATGTCTTCTTAATTACTGTTTTTAAACTATTTATACAACGTGAATGTGAATATCATATTATGTCTATATGGGTGTGAACTTGACTTATTAAGTTTGCTTATCCTATTTTATTTTCTTAGGCAGGTTGGGCTGATGATGTTTGGTTCATAACCAGTTAGACTCGCCGAAATTTTGTTTTTCACTAGCTCAATATTTTTTTATTTTTTAAAGTAGATAAACATAGTAAATAAAATAACAGTGTAAGATTTTATTTCATTCTCGTATGAAAATGCTGGTGTTTAGAACCTAAAATTTTTATTTAAAAGATTGCCTCTAACAATTTTTTTTGGTTATTTATAGTGTTGAAAATAAAGTAGTTAGGAGAGTTAGATAAAAAAAAATATAGTTATAAATTTATTGGTGAATGAGCGAAAGTAGTAATAGATTATTTCATTTTTGTTGTTGTAATTTTCAGTTTTATAATTGTTTTAATTTTTATTTATTGATGAACCACCCTGCCAATCTGGGTATAGTTTACAGAGTTGAATTATAACTTCAATATCGAACTTTGCTACGTGCTTAATGATGTTGAAAAGTGTATCTCCAAACTTTCTTTGTCGAAGGAAGTGTGTCTTGAAACTTATATATAATACCTGATTTGGATCTATGTCACATACTACTTGTACTAGTATGCCACATGGTACTACTTCCATCTTTGCTTCTAATTCCCAAGTTTCAATGATATTTTGTAGTCATGTTGGTAACAAATGTATAAGTAGATGAAGAAAATATTAGAAATTTGACTAAATTTAAAATTAGTGTTTGAATCTTATTAGACTTGTACCGGAAAGGAGGAGACGATCATGTGATACACTACGTCTCGGTCATTTCGGCAGCCCAAGGGCCAAGATAACACTTGTCTAGTTAGGGATGGCAACGGGGCGGGTCAGGTACATGTTTTATGATACCCGTTCCCGTCTCCGCGAGTCAAACCTATCATCGTTTCCGTACTCGTACCCGTTGAGTATGTGATTTGCATCCTCATCCCTGTTCTCATCGGGTATCGGGTATACCCGTACCCGTACCATCAAATTTTTTTATTTTTTATCTTTTGTAAAAAAAATATGATATTTTTAAATTATTTTTTTATTATATTATAATTATAATTAAGTTATTTCTCTATCTCATATTATAATAAATAATCACACATAAAAAATATTAAAATTTTTAATATAATTAAATTGAAAGTGGGTATTAAATTAAAAATAGAAACGAAGACGGGTACGGGTACGGGTACGGGGCGGGTAAGTATATACCCGTACCCGTACATGTACCCGATTTAATATATCGGGTTTTACCCGTACTCGTACTTGGTCAAATCGGGTATTTTTCGTCCTGACTTAGTCAGGATGGGTTCGGGTATTACCCACGGGTACGGGTATATTTGTCATCCCTATGTCCGATCAAGCTGTCTCGGTCAATACGGTCGCTGATACGATTGAATCCATATAAGTCCAAGATAACATCTCGATCGTGTCATCGACCGAGATGGATTAAGCTTTGATCCAATTGGTGGAGATCATGTCGGCTCGGCTTATGCCGAGATCGAAAACATATCCCCAACCATCGCACTTTATACCTCTCGGCTTGGCTAACGGTCGAGAGAGCCGATGTTTGTGTTTAAGTCTATTGGGTACCCCATATCCCTCGGCTTAGTCGATGGCCAAAAGGAGCCCACAAGTTTGAAAGCGAGATGATCATGATTAAATTAGGATAAATACTGGATTAGGGGAATAATCAGTCATTGAGCACTGATTACCTAATTTGGAAAATCACAAAGGAAGCCCACCACATGTAGAGCTCATATATGTCAGTATAAATAGTTTATATCTCGAGATAAAGTCACTGTTCATTTATTGTTATTAATATTTGTGTTTGTCCTGACTTAAACATCAGAGTATCTTTTGTAGGTATTTTCCTCCTTTAGAACACTCACTCAGAGTTCTCGTTTAACTTTTAGATAACTAAAAGATTATAAGTGTGCTTTTAGTCTCAAATCAAGAGTTCAAAAATTTTAGAGACAAAAATCATCTTTAAAATAATACAAGTTACGTAATATAATTGTTTTGTCATCATTTAAGGAGTTACTTAATTGTAGGGGCTAAAAACATGTTTATTATTTTTTTCAAAGACTAAATTAAAAAAAATATTACAATAAACCCACTGCAGAAAAAACCAGAGCGACAAACATAAATTTATGTTATAATAATAGAATTAAACCATTTTTCCTTATTTTTTGCGCAGTTTTTCTTCTGTTGTGTGTGAAGTGTGAAGAGAGGGGCGATGAGTTCCTCTCCACAGCGTTCTCGCGGCGATGGCGACAACAGACCTAGATTCTTCGACTCTAAGACCAAGGCCATCTGTTGGGCCAAGGCCGATACTGTCTCCGGCCGCCACCCTGAGCGGTGGCGCAAAGACGCTGCCGGCAACATTGTCTGCAAACGTTTCTTCAACTGCATCGGTTGCCTCTGCTACGAGTACGATCACATCATTCCCTTTTCCAAAGGTTCCATTTTTATTTTTACCCCCTTCAACCTCTTTTCAACCCATTCATTTCATTTCCTTACTCTATTATTGTGTTGTAGGTGGTGAGTCCACAGCGGATAATTGTCAAATACTTCAATCTAGGGTTAACAGATTCAAATCGGACAAATATCACGTTGATTCCGATCAATTGAAAGACTACTCTTGTGAGGTTAATTTTACTGGTATGTATGGTATGCATTGTCTTTATTTGCATTCAAACTATCTTTTTCGATTATTATTTTGCATTTTACCCATTATTAGCCTTAGGGTTTCCTTTATTCAGCCTCGTCCATTATGGATGAATAAAATGTTAGTATTATTTATATCGGAAGGCACTATTAAAAAACATATGAAAGAAAATTAAAATAAACCTTTTCATAAGCTAGAATTTTAGCCTATGCATCAGTGGTAAGTTAAAAATAAAATTTTAGAAAAATTAATAGAAAATAATTTCTACATAAAATTTAACTTGTGAAAAAACTTATTTCATTTATTTAGCTTACTCAAACATGTCTTTAGTAATTGAAAATCACAATTTGTATTTTTAAACCCATGCCATCTTCTCTTAGTAAGATTAGGACCTCAATCCTCTTCAACGGAGAACCCTAAATCCAAAATGATATTATGGGTAATGGTCATAATTCATTTCGATTGTTGCTTTTGCAATTTATAGATGCATCATTGAAGGGCATCTGCAAATTTTTTAACATGCGTCTTCCTTCCTCAGATTGGGTGGATTTACTAAATGCTTTACAAATTTATGTTTTTCATTTGCAATTTAATATGCTTTGAACTTGCATCTCCTGTACCTTACAAGTATTGTGAATTATAGGCTGCTCTACCTTTGTAAGAAATAATGAAAATGTTTATTTGCAATTTGAAATTCTTTATTCATGTGTAATCTTAGTTCCCTTTCATGTGCTGCATATGGATGTAATCTTTTCGTCTGGAATGCTATATTGAAGCCAATGCTTCATTTTAATTCAATCAATTAAGAACATGTTGTAAATTTCTGACCCTGATTGTGAAGATCTCCAAAATTAGATGGCAATATCTTTTAAGAGTTAAGATGGATTTTAAGGGGTTTGATGGGCAGTCACTGTACCTGACTTTTATTAGGATGGCTAGTTTGTTCAGTGTGTCAAGTTAGAAGAATTGTTGTTACACTTGGGATCTTGTTCTGCTTGATGCTGCCTGAGAGTTGATCTGTTATTGACTTCTTTGTTTATGAAGCTGTTTGGAATTTAAATACAAGCATAAAAATATCTGAGAGTTTGTCTACTGGAAATAACTCTTTATTTTCAGTAAATAAACTCTAAAAAATATTTCTAAATTATATCCAAACAGACTATACACTTACTTGTAGGTATAGCATTTTAAAAGCAAATTGTGTAGTGCTCAAAATTTTGTCCAATCATCATCATCATCATCATCATCTTCTTTTGATCAATTATTAGATAAGGAGCTTGATATAATTGAGATGGCTGTTTATGGAGATGTGTTGCGGCCAGGAAACCAATGTCGTTGCAGAACTGTGGCTGAAAAACTTGGCAAATTCAAATCAAAAGATGACACAGATGCATGTAAGTTGCCATAGAAGGATGAATCTTTGTAGCAAGCAACTTTGCAACACACATGCATTCATAGAAGGATGAATCTTTGTAGCAAGCAACTTTGCAACACACATGCATTGAGAAAAGGAGCTCCTACCACTCCCTTATTTTTAGACAAGATAGCAATTCACTTTCTATAATTTGATCTTGTGTGAGGATTCACATCTAAGTGGGTTGTTAAACACATTCGAGGGTTCTAACTTCTTTAAAGTTAACTCTAAAGTAAGAAGAAAAATAAAAGATTCATATTTTCAATGACAAAATTAATAACTTATATTTCATGCTAAATTAACTTTTTGGCCCTTCTATTTTTCTTTTCAATCTGAAGTTTTGGTTCTCTTATTTTAAAATGGGAACATTTAACCTCTCTTTTTAAAAATGTAGAATTTTGATCATATTATCACTTTGATATTTGTTAATCATTAAATTTTAATGTTATTTGGTGATTTGTCATCACTTAATTAACATGATATTTAATTATATGACATGTATGAATAAAAACTATAAAATAACATAAAAATTTGTTTGTATTTATTTTAATGAGTAATGAGTACTTATTTTATTAATAAATCTTATTTTTTATGCTTTTTTTATAGCTTTTTCCCCCTTCAAATGCCCTTTTTTGCTAAATTTTACACCATTTATGTATGAAAAAATGTTGAAATTTAATAATTAATAGAAGTGAATATGATGAGAGATTTAAAATTTTGTATTACTAAAAATAGGGTAATTAAATATTTTTTATTTTAAAATAAGGAGATCAAAATTATGAATGGATAAAAAGAGGAAGATTAGAAATACAATTTGGTTAACATTTTATGAAGATATTTGTTATATCTATAATTATAGATTTGTTATTTTTTTTTTAAAAAAAAATTTCTGATAAATGATCGAGATTGTTTGCTTAATTAATATAACAGTTTAAACAGTTGTATCAATTCTTAAAGCAATGTTTTACCTACTAATCACAATTGTACTTTTACATTCGGGCCTGCGTTGACTCTATGGCTTGACACGTTGCATAGAGCAAACTCCGAAAAAGTGGCCCAAAAAGAACTGGGCTAATTAGGCTTGGTCTAGCATACTAACAGAACTAGGTTGAACAACACATTTGGCTTGTATGTCAAATGTCTCAAGTGTATTTTGACAAAAAATTTCAACTACTTTATCGTTTTTTTTACTAGCTGAAATTAATAATATTTGATAAACATATTAAAAGTTAGATGTAAATTGGATAAAAATATTGACTTGGATTTTATTTATTTTGTCAACAATTTTTCCGACAAATTATACACCAGAGTAAATGAAGACAATTGAAAACTTCAAATGCATTGTTTGTAAAATAAATAAATAAATTGTTTTATGCACCGAGGACTAAGGAAAGATCAAATTTGAAAGAGTAATGAATTTTAGACATCCATATTTTTAAAGACTATCAACATCTTCTCATTTCTATCTTTTATTTATTTATTTTATTTTATCTTCTCTTGGGTTAAACAACATGAACTTATTTATGGCCTGTCCAAAAATCATTTTTGAATTTCAAAATTAAAACCATTGTACGACAAGCCTCTGTTTTGATGGAACAACTACGAGGGGAATGGGTTGGTCTTGGTTTTTGAGCCTTGGGCCTTAATTAAACTCTACATCAAAACTTCAATTCTTCTATTATTCTTACCTGCAATATAATGCTTGATGCAGATTTTAATGTTATTGTGGATTTTGAACTTGCACAAGTGTATGAACATAATTCTAACATAAGAGATGTTATCACACTTACCATTTTGGTGTATAGAAATAGATCATATGAATGTGTATGATCTTCACCACCTCACATAGAGTCAAACAGGAGAAGGCAATTCATTTTCTAATTTTCAATTTAGATAGATTTTGTGGTTTCTAACTTGAATATTGTTATGGTGTAAAAAAAAAAAAAAGAATATAGTTTTATGGCAGTCTGAAATTTTTGAAATGCTACAAGTATGTTAATGTTGCATTTATTATTTCACAGCCGAAAGGTAGGTGGGTGCAAAGGAGTGGGGGCCATAGCACCCTGAAAAGAGTAAAAAAAATGTCCTATTTAAACCAATTAACCCGACATCTAAAGCTAAAATTCGTTCAGTGGACATTGAAGGGCCTAGAGAGATTATTTTATGGATATTGAAGGACATGTAGAAAAAAAATTGTATTAGTGTGTTTTATTCATCAAGTTATTTTAGTTAATAATCGCATATTTTTTACTTTGAGAGAATTTTTTAAAAATAAGTAATTATTCCTCTAAATTGATTTGTTTCTAATCAGAATGCTGCTGGGTTTATCACTCTAAAATCAACTGATGCTATTCTAGATATCATTTAATTTATAGATGGGGTTTTACTGGCGGCCACAAGGAAGTTATGTGGGATGTTAAAATAACAATATATGGGTGTAGTCCATCTATTTTCTATTATAAGAAAAAAAAATATATTTAAAAGTTAGTTATTTACATTAAATTTTATTATTTTTATAAGACTTTTTTTATAAAATTATTCTTGTTAGAAATATTAAAAGAAAGGTTGTATAACGGAATGATTATGCATTAAAAAAAAATATTTTAGAGAAAATATCATAGAAAAAATTAGTTAACTTTTCTTATATTTTAAAAAAATGTATATTCTTTTTTTATATATAATAAAGAAGAGAGGGAGTATTCATTAATCCTCTTTATATATATATAAATACATCTAAATACTGCAATTTTACTACTTGGAAAATAATATTTCAAGAAGGAATGTAAAGGATTTGCCCTCGTTGTGAATAACAATGTGTGTTAGTGAAGAAATATAAAATTGATGGATGACTCATAATTTCATTTCTTAGTATGTTGGGAGGCTTTATATTAATAATAACTTGATAGCACAAGGGCCAACTTTCTCCTTTCAAAAGCTATCAAACTTGAAAGGGTATCATAATACAAGACAAGTTTAAGCAAATACAACTCATATTTCTTGCAAAAGAAGAAGAGATATTAATAACAGCAGAAGAAGCATTCACCCCATACTAGTGGAACAGGAGATTCTGCAATAAAAATCAATTTCAGTACATGGATGGAAAATTAGAGGTGTGCAATTTGCATACAAACAAAAAGAAACCATGTTGGAATTAGGAGTGAAATAGTAAAGAAAAAAATTTGAGAGAATTTCTCTTCATTTATTTGAATGAATGGATGTGAGAGTGAAAAAGATTAAAAGTATTTATGAAACAACAACTTTACCTTCGATTAAATAAATCATGATAGCAGGTAAGTTACACAAATAAATATCTAAGATCAAAAGATAAAATTGGAATAAACATATGTTTTGTGTAGAGTAAATTCTCACTTTATCTTAAATTTGGCAGACCTAACCTCAAGCGTGTGGTTCAGTGGTAGGGATTGATCTACGCTTAAGTAAGGTCAGGGGTTCGAATCCTGCCTTGTGTATGCAGCCGCGTTAAATCTTGGGGCCAGCTATCCAACCTTTTGAGGTGCCTCCAACGTAGCGAGGAGATTAGTCACTGCTATCGGCGGTGGATACTCTAGGGACGAACAAAAAAAAAAAAAATTGGCAAACCTAGAATTAAAAAATTGTAAATTTAGTCTTTGAAAATACAAATTGACAATTATATTAATTCAAAGCTAGTGGTGGGATCAGAGTAATATACATAAAGTTGAATTCGAATTATATTATCCTCATTATGATTCTTAAGGATAAAAATTTATTAGTTCAAAACTAAAAGAAAATTATGACTAAAATAATAACATGGATATATATTCAAAAATTAAAATGTTAATAAGTAATTAAATTTAATGGCTTATTTAATAATATAAGAACTAATTATATATATATATATATATATAAATTTTAGAAACTAATTCAACAGTATCTTTTAAATTCAAGAGGGTATTTAGCCTCTTTTTCTCCATTTCATGATTCTGGTGCCGGGAAAGGGAACAAATGTTCTATAAAGATCCCCTTACTTTTTGCAATTTTTCTCTATATTTCACCTCATTCAAACATTGAAAGAGATGCATTTATACTCCTTTTCTATATCGTTCCAATTTCATTCATTCTCATTTCTCTAAGAACAAATAAGTATAAAAGCAAAAACAGAGTTTTTCAATTATAATTTTGAGAAAATAAAACTAGTTAATAAAATAAAATTAAAATTAAAAATAAATAATATATGATATCATAATAAAACTCACCACCTAATAATTTTTTGGCTACATTAATCCTTTTTTTGGTGCATGATATATACCTAATAATTAAAATTAATGGTAAGTAATTTTTTTAAAGAAATGTTAAAATAAAACTTGAGGCCCTGAATAATTGGGTACGTGAGAGAAGTGTTTCATTGACTTTGCTTCTTATTATAGTCGTGATTGTTGTTTTCTAATTTCTAGTATGTTTGAAATTGATTTAAACCGAAATTTGAGGCGAGTTGGGATCGAAATGGATTAAGGGTATGTTTGTTTTTCAGTTACGTTCAATGTAACTCAAAAGTAACACATCACTTATTTTAGCTTTTTTGTATCGGAAAGTAAAAAATGTTCGTTTAACATGTTTTGAACAGATTTCCAAACACACACTAAGTATCTACAAAGACTCTCTAATATAATGACTTAGATTTATAGAACATTCAAGTGAAGAGTTTGACCTGTTCTAGAATAAAAGGCTACTAGTTTATTTCAGGTTGAGGTGTGTTCTCTTTTTCTTGATCTAATTAAAATTGCTTACACATGGGTTGCTTATGATTGACCTGAATCAATGTACCAATTAATGGTTTGGACAGGTAAACAACTTTGGGCCAAAGTGATTTGTTTTTGATAGATTGGACAGTAAAAACTCAGTCTTCCAATCATGATTCATATACTGAACCTTGACCTTTAGAAATAAATGTTTCAATGAGGTTTCTATAACTAAGTTGGTGGTACTTAACAAAATGGAATTAATATTACTACCAAATTAAGTTGGTCTTTCACGCCATCTCTTGACTCTGAACAAACAATTCCAAATGGACAGAGACCCCTTGACCCCATAACATTTAACATTTTAACTCTCTTTTTGTCAGATATACCAAATATCATTAATAGTACATTTAAGCAAGAATCATACGCTCATATGGCAGTAATTTTATTGGGAAAAAACTTTTCTAAACTGAACTGGTCTTTGAATAAAAGAGGTGTATCTGGTGTTAAATTTTAGTGGGTTAAAATTATGATATACTTCAAATTA